CTGCACATGGTTCACATTTTACTAGAAAAACAGAAAGAAATGAGGCTCAAAACTTTTGCACATTACTGTACAGTTTTTAAACATTAACGTCATTATTGCATTTTCATGATGACTTTCCGCAAAATAAAAACTGCTTCTCTTTAATGTGGTGTAATTACATGATGATGTTTCACTATTTCCTCAACTAGATGAAAATGAGTCAGTTCTTCAGTCCGATGAGCGTTCGTTCACTCAGACGTTAGATCAGCAGGAACATCGAGCACAGACCTGTAACAAAACTACATTCCCGTAAATCTGTGAAACAGGAAGTTTTATTTAAAGAAGCAGCTTCACCGAGAGATCATGAAGGAGAGATACACCACACATCTGCTCTGTGAACGAAAACAATACATCTCCATCCTTCATTAATCTGCAATGACAGTGGGGGCTGTCCACTCGGGAAAAAACTGGTCAAACTACATCAGGTTTCGCTGAATGAACAAATGAACAGGAAGTGTTTCAGAACCAGTAGAACCACAAAACACTGAAGTTTCCACTGAGCACATCACAAACATCTGTCATGTCAGAAGTATTTCTTTCCCTTCTGATGTAAACGAGAGTTACAAAAAGAGGCAATAACAAGTCAACCCCAAAGAGGCAGCGGTCCAGCAGACTATCGCCCTCTCGCTGTTCTCACTGAGACTTCCCTGGTTTTAGTTTTTGTTAGTGTCTTTGACACTGCAGGTAGCATGAGAGGGTAACTGTTACTACTTTAAATTAAATCAGTGGTTGAAGTGAGCACTTCATAAGTGGGTAAAATGTGGACTCACTGCACCAACTGGGCTGAACAAAGAGGGGAAGTCATCAAGTGTCCCTCATGTTGTACTGACAACTGCCTCCCCTTGTCCACTGACAACTGGACAAGGGGAGGCAGCGACTATATATACTATACTATATATTATATATACGGGAGGAAGTGGCTTTGACTTCCCAAATGCCTCAGCAACCAAATAGCACCCAAAGTGTGGGGCCCCACACTTTGGGAAAGTCTGGGTTAAATGATCACCAAGTAATATTTGTTTATGCAGTCCTGCTGTAACTGTGGGGGCTAGTCCAACCAGAACAGTATGGTGGGGAGAGATTTGTTCTTCCGGTACTGCCATTATGTTTTGTCGTGTGCTGGAGTACGCATTAAAGTGTTCCAGCAGACTAACATCCAGAGTGATCATTGGCTCGTCGCATCACACGAGAGCACTACACATCCTGCCCCCTGTGTTCAGTCCCAGCAACACTCAAGCACATCTTGGTTGGTTGTAGGACTAGCCTTACTCGGGGCAGATACACATGGAGACACAACCAGGTTCTATTAAATTCGTTCTTTTGAATTCTTTTACCGACCGAGAAAGACTTCCGACTCAGAGTGGTCAAGCTCAAAAAATCATCTTTATTGTACATTTCCGGAAACGGAGAACTGTAGACACGAGCACGCACCCAGAGATGTCGAGCCGAGAAAGTTGAGTGCAAGATGAAATCTATCAACTTTTCATGAACCAAGAGGAGCATCGGCTTTCATCAACATTTATCCGGGAGGGAGACAAGCAGAGGACGAGCCCCTAACCCCGGACGTGGGCCCGCTGAAGGTCACCAGGGATTGGCAGATGCAAGTGGACTTGGACCAGAGGCTACTTTTTCCCACAGAGATCGTAACAACTACTCTGCGACCAGACCTCGTCCTTTGGTCTAACTCCCGAAAACTTGCGTACGTCATTGAGCTGACGGTACCATGGGAGGAAGCAACTGAGGAAACATTTGAGCATGAGAAGCTGCGGCATGCCAACTTGGAAGCTGAGGCAGAGGAAAGAGGCTGGAAGATCAAAGTGCGCCGGTGGAAGTGGGGTGCAGGGGCTTTGTTGCCAGTACAACAGCAAAACTGCTTAGAGGTATGGGATCAGGCGACAGGCACAATGGCAGGCTATAAGAGAATTAGCTGACACTGCTGAGAGGACCAGTCACTGGCTATGGCAGCGAAGGTAGTCAGCTAACCGCGAGACACACGCCCAGGATTGATCTGTGGTGAGGTTACCACAGCAAAGGGCACGAGAAGAAGTGAGGCTCTTTAAATATTAAAGAGGTAAGTATAACTTTTGCAGTGAATTGATAAATTGTATGAAACTAAACAGAAGAAATTAGAAGAGAAATAAAAATGTAACATAAACCAGTGACACACTCTGACCCTGATCAACCCTGGCAGGGCTTCCTTGGATGAGGGTGTCTAGTGATAATGGCTGAAACACCCAATGAATCCAAGGTCCACTACTGACGATCTATTACAATCTAAATTAGATTCTTAATCCCCAAACCTAACCAAGGAAGGTAAAAAAAAAAAAGCCTAACAAAATGGCAGAATAGCTTTTGATAAAAGACCGAAACAGCCTGTGAAGTTGAGGCACACAATGATGAGTCCCGCTGGTAAAGTTTCCAGGCTGCCTTCTGTCACGTTTTAGTTAATGGACTCAGGCGCAGACCGGGAATCTTTGCAGAGTTAACAATCAGTTTATTTACACAACGACACCTGGTGATACTATTTACAACGTGCTGGAGGGAGGGGAGTGGGGTCCAGAGTTCTGGGGTATGTGAGGGGAAAGACGGGAATCAGACGCACTCCAAAGGCTCTCTCTCTTCACTCCCCACACTGGGGAAACACAAATCCACTCACTCGTCCACAGGAAACAGGCAGGCAGGGAAAGGTCCGGGGTAGATCTGCACACAGAGACGGGGGTTAATGACGAACAGACGGAAATAACTTTACGGAGTT